TTGTAGGACAGTTTGAACGATTCTATAAACCTTTTGAATGCACTAGTTTTATTTACAAACAAAATATGTAGGTTTTCCAAATCACTGTAAACAGACCAAGCCAAAAAATGTTAATTTGAATCTTTTTTTTTTATACTTTTTTTTTTACATTTGGACTTTCACTTATCCGTAGTCAACCTTGCTAAAATTACAAAATACTATTCTCTGTATAAGTTTCATAATTGCATTAACTTCTTGTAATGCTTCGTTTTAGAATGATATTTATTTTTAGAGAAATCGTATCGATTGGTGTGCTGTATGGAATTGAAAGATTTGTACATTTTCCTTGATTTAAATAAAAAAATTGTTTTCGAGTTCATCGAAATGTCTATTTTCCTTGAAATGGATAAGAAATTAATAAATACGTCTTTTTCATTTTGTGCATGTTACACAAATCCAGGATCTTGTAACAAATACTGTCAAATTTATTATTGCTGACGACATATAGACCATAGCGGCTAACTTGTACTAACAAATAACTGGCTTAGACTGTAATTAATCACGATATTGAATATGATTATTCATAGAGTCGAATGAATTATTCATGAGGGTGGTGTAATAATTGGTCCAATCAGGGCCGTCATTTTTGGACCGGATGATGAAGTTGGGGAAACTGACAGGTTTTGTATATTAACTGATAACACTGTGCCTGTACAATGTCTGTAGAGTTGCTAAAAAATGAGTATTAAAATGCCGAACACAAAAGCAAATTTACGTAGGTTTGTGTGTGTTGTGTCCTATTTTAATTGAAACACCACCACCCCCCATTCGCCATAAGCCCCGCCCACCATTTTTACGCTTTGGCAGGAGCTCTCCAAGTCACTTTGTTGGTTGACGAACAATTGACCCAAAATATTTTACAAAAATTGAGCAAATGACATGCCGTCGTCGGTAAATGCGCTCTAAAAATTGTTTGTAACAATTCATAAAGTTGTTTTTGAAAATGTAAACGGAGTTAAGATATGTGTAGCATGTTATAGTCACGTGGTATTTTCTGTAGCGGTTGGACGGTATCCAGAAGGAGGAATTGAAAATTGACGAAAAGTATGGTGTTCCATATGTGCCATCGGCGTCGCTTTTTCGCCAGAGCTTATTGTACACTCGCACTTTTTTGTTCATTTTTTTATACAAGTGATGATAATATATTCGGTTGGTTGGATACCCTGCTTGTCCAATATTCCCTTCGCAATATTGCTTGCATCACCTTGGGAAAATTTCTGATGTCGATTGCACTTTTCCCAGAGCAAATGTTCCTTATCCAGCCGAACTGTTTGAAAACATCTCTTTCTCCCCAATGACATTTCAAGTGACAACCAAAACAAGCGAGCACGAAAATATATTTCACCTCGCGCGAAAAAGTCAACAACGCAACCCGATCCCCGTCGACAAGCATCGCGCACCGTTTTGCGCGGGTGACAACGGACAAATATAATAGTGCATCTGCAAGTAGGAGAAGAAGAAAAAAATGAGAAGGTTTCAAATTTCTCGTTTTGAATCCTTTATCCCGAGCGATTACCCTCTCATGTTCATTGTAGTGTTTCCTGGTGCCGATCGCGTGGACCAACTCTCCGCCGTAAGCAGGTGCCTTTTCCCCGATCGCATTTCAGACAATCTCCCCGCTAATTCGCTCTTTGCCCCCCGGCAGTGGATGAGCGAGCACTCGCTCCAGCACCCCCCCCCCCCCTCCCCCTCCACAACTTCCCGAGACGAGAACGCGGGACTGATATATACCGAGTAGGTATAAGGTGGCTTTCCCCTGGCGTAAAACGGCGGGATTATTACGAGTAGGAAGCTGGAGAGTGAACGATGATGACCGTTTGTCATGGCGGTTTCTGTCATTTCTGTAGGGAGATGCAACTAATGCCCACTGATATTGGGAATTTCCCAATCTTGGCTGCGTCTCCAGTTCGGCTCCATTGCAACCTTCATTATTTTGGCGCCTGAATCCCTCTTGCTTATTGTTATAGTTCAATTTTGCTGCAACAGAAACCTTCAATCATCTGATGTTTGGCTAAAAGTTGCGGCAAGGATCCAACAGTAAACATAAACAAATTAGTCTTGAGCCCGAGATGGAAGCCATGGCCGGAACGAAGCCGAGATGTGAAAACTTGCCGTTGCCGACTTAATGAGTTTTCCCTGTTCTTTTCAGAAGCTCACAAACTTACAAAAGAGATTTGTCACATGGCTCCATCGTAAATCTTGATCTTACAACTTAATGAAGCATGCGGTGAATTATTATTGTATAAGGAGTGAACGTTAATTATAAGTTCTGGCATTTGCAAGTTTATTACTTAAAATAGAGTACATTTTCGGGTAACACCATGTGGAAAGAAATTTCTTCTTGGAAGAAGTGTAGTTCTGAAAAGAACCGGTTGGTTGAGTTGTGTGGTTCTTTTCAGAACCACACTTCTTCCAAGAAGAAATTTCTTTCCACATGGTGTTACCCGAAAATGTACTCTATTTTTTATCTCATCCGCCATGCAAAGCTTCAAGTCATATATAAGCTTATTACTTATTTGTTCAATTCTTATTTTAATTGGGTTGCCCATTCGGTGGAATCCACTGGTCTCCCATGGGGCCCAGTAAAGAGAAGACAATATGAAGAAAGTACAGTTTTAGATGTGGGAGGAAAACCCCTAAAGAATATTCTGGGAAACGAAAACACGGAATCGGGTAGGAACTGAAACCCCAATCCACATATTGGCCCGGGCAGGATTCGAACCCGGGTCACAGCGGTGGACGGCGAGGAAAAAATACGCCAACCTGACTCCCAAAATTTCGTTTTGGTTCCATAGACTCCAGAATTAGGTTTTATAACATACATCTTTACAAAAACAAATGTATTGTGTGGGTGGGGGGGGGGGGGGGAGATACAAATTCGCCTTGGTAATGTCCACATTGATTTCGTAGATAGCGCTCTCATTGCGCCGTTTGGGGCGACCACCAGCATTAGGACTGACAAGCTTAGTGGGGGAATCGGCCGATATATTCCGGAGGTCCAAGGTTCGAATCTCGCCACAAGTCTGAAATCTCTTCTTTTTTTCACCTTTATGTCACTTTAAACTGAACCAAGTCAGTTATCCCGTTGTGTTGTTTGTTCTTTGTGGTATTTTTGTGACCATTTTTTTTCTTTCTCCAAAGCCATACCGTTTTAATCAGGTTGAGATGGCTCATCGTTCTTGAAACTTCGTATGTACATCAACATGTTTTTGAAATGAAAATAGAAGTAGAACACACAGAGCACAAAAATCTTCAATTTCAGGAGGACTTAATACAGCCGTCATCATGCGTGCCCGGCGCCCTCGGATATATTTTTCATAAAAAAATCCCAAAATGTCTCCCGGTTCCGTCTTCGATTTGAGGATGCAAAACACCAATTTCGCGTGGGCCGACCGACGAGGACGGGTAATTTCCATACTACCCGACCCTTCGGAAACTCAGTACGTTTCTCAATCTAACAAGAATACTTACCGGAAATGGTCTACCTTAGGGAGATATTCCCATAGGCTTGTGCACAAAATTTGCTCAACGTTAATGACACCTAACTCCTATTTTACATTATACACCCACGAATTTTGGTATATTTATGTTTTGGACCACGAGCCGTCGATCTAGTAAATGTTTGCCTCTATAAATAGGAGTTGTGACATTTGGGAGACATGTCTCCCTAATGTCCGGTGTCTCCCTAGTTAGGGGAATTTTGCCTTTGATGGTACAAGCATGGCATTTGGCACACAGTCAGAGTATGTCTTAAGAAAGATAGTTGGCTATAGGGCCATCGCAGATTTGTCCTTAAAAAAAAACCACCAGAATAACAAGCAATTTTCCAAATGGCTGCCATTGTTTGTTCTTCTACCTCTATATTTTTTTTTTCAAAAGACAAATCTGCGATGGCCCTTCAGCCAAATATCTTTCTCATGACATACTCTGACTGTGTGCCAAATGCCATGCTTGTATCATCAAAGGCACAATCCCATCACCCATTTGCGCCGTATTATACTACTCAGGTTTATAAACATCTGTATGAAAAAAAAATGATGTTGCATAGCTCAAAGTGCTTCCGAGTAATGGGCAAGTACACATCTTTCACATTATGAAGACGATCATGAGACGAAACAGATTTTCTCAAACAAATGAACAAACGTAACAACACAACACAGGTAACATAATATTCCACACGGCTTCACAGAACAAAAACGACAACTAAATTGGGTAAACAGACAAAAGACATCGCCAGTGATAAGACGTACGACTGCGTGTCCAGGATGCTCTCATAATACATGTCATTCGCTCCCTGAACATTGCACGCTCATTATACGCCTTTGTGGCATTTGCCGCGATGAAAATCTCATCTTGGAGCAACCCGTTGTCATGGAAACGCTGCCCAATCCAGTAGCTGCTCCGCCGGCCAAGAATTAAAGAAACAAAAAAGAACATTACGATTCGTCAAGGGTGATTGTGTTTTGTCTGCAGGCCTGTCTGAATTATTTTCATTTCAGGCGGTGACTTAATCATCATGCGGACAATGACATCCCTTGCCCCCCCCCCAGATAATTACCATGTAATAAACGAAGAATATCCCACAACTTGGAAATATTTCACCCAAGCCTCGCTCTAGTTTTGACTGAATAGGTTATTACAATTTTCATCAGCGTTTAATAATTCCGGCTCGGCTTTCCAACATCAAACGAACTGCCGACTCAAAATAAAACCCACGATTGAACTTTGTAGTCGGCTGTCATTTTTTCATCTCCCTAACAAAAAAAGATGATAAATAAATGAGTAAATTATCCTATAAAAAGGGTTGTTATTGCAATGGAAGGTATAGGCTCATCTGGCCACTGCGAACTTGTTTATCTTGCTCCCTATATAGATAGCAGTGAGTGTACATTATGCAAAACCACACACACAATGTGTGCGGGGGGAGTTTGTGATTGATTGCTTTTGGCCGCTAGAGGGCCGCGCGGGGCATACGAATGTGATTGACACGCACGAGCGTTCGTGCGCTAAATCGTTAGCAGACGATATTTTTCAACCACCTAACTACCTGTACAACGTATGTACGTGTACACGTTCGTACGGCACACGTACAAATAGTGCATGCATGAAGTGTGCTCCTAATTCCCCGCGTAGCTGACGCAAAACCTACCGGAAAATTTGCTACGATTTCTCCTGCTGACAGTGTCCGTCCATTTTTATCTGCCCAGTGTGTTCTTCGGTCATTTCGTGATCATCTTTTTGTACAATTTTGCTGCGGACCTTGATCCATGACCGAGAGAGTGCGAGTGGAAATCAGCGGTGCCTTTGCTTGGAGAAGTCGGGCACATTGTCTGGTAAGTTGCTGTTGTCAAGTCGTCATTGGTCGTTGGCGAGTGCATGCACGTGGAGTCCAGTGAGTGGGGTCTAACAATTTTCGCCGTGTTCCTCCAAAGTGATAATTATCAAAATGATGTCTAATTTGAAGTCGAAAGTGGGATTGAAGGATTTAACACTGTTTAAAGGGAATATAGGGCCTACAACATTTGCAAACATGAAAAAAAAAACTACCAAATTATTACGCAATACCTTACTCAACAGGATCATGTGGACCATGATAACTAATGCTATTGCTAGCTTGAGAAACTCCAGCTCCAACATGTCCAACGCTTGATGCTTGATGCCTGATGTGTAGACTCCTAAAAAGCTCATCACAGGAATTTGACATTTCGAACTCCTGATGAGCATTGGAGCTGGAGTCTAGTAAATGACCAATCATTGCCAATGGCAATGCTGACAAAGTGACAGTCTTAACTGCATCCTGTAAAATCATGGCACCTGGTGTGCTAGTATTTTCAAGAACAACAACTTAGGCCTACAAGTACAACAAGGTTTTGGTAAACATGCAGGCACCAACTCAAATTTGAGAAGCAATATATTACTGGGAATTTACATGGAACATAATTAAAATTGTAATTTAAAGGAAAGTTTGTCCATTTTTGTTCTGTATACAGTGTATGCACATTGCATGGCACGTATGTTTCACTCCCATGGAGAGTGCGATACTTATAGTTTACTGTAGGTGCAGTGGGAACTTAATATGCAAGCCCTAAAAATGCTATCGCTAGAAATTCATTTCGGGAAAAAAATTCCATGTGGAGATTTTTCCCTTGTAAAGTGGTTGCTAGGATACCAAAGAATTCTGAGTTTCCATCGATCATGTGTCACTTTTCGCTTCAGATTTCTAGACATTTGAAGTTTTCACAGGCTAATAAAAATACTGAACATAAAACCTTACGTAGCGATCATTTACACACTTGTAATAGATTTCTTTTTGCAAAATTTCTTTTGTTTTGATAAAAATGAGCAATTTTAAAAGCTGGCTAAACAATATATTTTTGGATTGCTCGCGATATGTGGTACCAGACCTCAACAAACCTGACTATTATTTTCTGAGATCATAGTAACAAACTCAATAAATTTTGAGAGCACTTTCTGACCAGCAAAATGGGGCTAAAAATCTTAAGTGTGAGTTTGATTTTATGATGCAAATTTTTGAATATTGGTGATATGAAGCATTAAAAGCACAATGCATATTTGTAAATTTTTTTTATGTTGACATTTTACACAAAAACTTGTAATCAGTTCCGACAAAAAAATAACATTCAAACATGGTCAATCAAGAGATAAAAAAAAATGTAGCGAAAATTTGTTCACAACTCGGATTACTTGATAAGCCCCTCTACCTTTATGTTAAAGAACGAACGTTGGGAAAACCTCTGAAATTATGTTCTTGTTAAAAACAAAATGGTCGTAAATGTAAACAAACGACGTCTGAGAAAAGATGAAATCACTGTTTCTACGTTCTCAGAAAATATTTGTAAACGTTTCTTTGAGAAATATACAGTGATTGAACTAAAATGTGATAAAATAACAATGTCTCCCAGATTCAGTAGTCTAGTATAAACGATAAAATACAAAGATATCTTTTTGAATCGTGTCATCCGTGTAAAATCATTACCGAAGACCCGGTAGAAGGCGTCCGCTGAATGGTCAGACTCTGGAGGTCAAGATGCAGTCTTAAATTGCATAATTAATTGCAGAATCTCCACGGATATCAAAGACGCTATTAAGTTGCTTTTCATGAGGCCATAGAGTAGACCACGCCACGCAAAGTACAAACCTTAAAATCTTGTAAAAAAACCTAATTTCATAAAGTATGAAATTCATTAGGTAAAGCTTTTTGAAAATGAAACCTGGTTACATTTGTAGGCCTTACAGTATCCTACTTCTGTTTAAAACAGTAGTTTAGTGTTACCAGACTTCCTGTAACGGGCTAGCACGGTGTCAGTTCAAAGACAATGAGGATTGTATACGGCCAGAAATCTGATCTGAAAAAGTGTGTCCGTCGGCAGATGTTTTTCTTTCTTGTATACTTTTCCTTGAAAAAGCAATAAAATACAGTTATTTATCGACCCTGACCAAAAAGCAGGTCAGTTCGGCCCATAATAATAACCGCATTCTCCCTATCACTTTTCCTCATCTTAAAGTAACACCAAAAAAGTGAGAAAAACTGAACACAATTATTGTGAGGTAACAGAAATTCAATCTGAGAAAAAAAAAATGAATCAAAGGGAAATCAATCTGTATTTAAATTTTATTTGATAATTTGGTTTTAAAACACTTTCTAAAGGTGAAGCGTCTCAATTTTATCAATGATAAGCAAAATAAAACTTAATAGAAACATTTTAAAAGCGGACTCATGAAATCAAGGTTAATATTATCGTAATACATGTAGATGTCAGATTCATTTCAATTGAAAGTGATGGGCAGAAATTGCAGAATGCGATTTTTTTTAATATTAAGGCAGGGGTGACCTGCTTTTTGATCAGGGTCGATGAACAACTGTATTCCGGCATTGCAGCTTTTCCTCGGATCAGCTGATTTCCTCGTTTTCGCTTCACACTTATGCCATTAAAAATTGAAAAACACTGTACAAAGTCTTGTAAAGATAGGGGTTTCTTCATTTTTTTGTTTCTTCCAAGCTGCATGCCTGTGCAGTTCAATTCTTTTTCAAGGAAAAGGAAAAAAAAAAGAAGGAAAAACAGCTGCCGATGGACACACTTTTTCAGATCAGATTTCATTTCCTTTGAATGGACACCGCGCTAGCTGGGTGCTGTGGTCCAATGGTTACGGTGTTCGACTCCTGTGCCGTGGTACATGGGTTCGAATCCTGACGGGGAACATGGTGCTTGTGCTCTTGCGCAAGGCACTTAACCATTATTGCTTCGTCCTTTGGATGTGACGTAAAGCCGTTGGTCCCGTGTGTTGTGTAATGCGCGTTAAAGAACCCAGTAACACTTGTCGCTAAGAGAAGGGGTTTGCCCTGGTGTTTCTGGCAGTGGCTGCAATATGCGCCGCAGCACCTTGTAAACCCTTATAAGGTGCTACATAATGGGTCTCATATTTCTCATAAACTTTATTTACCTTTCTTTAATAGAGACATATTTTCCAGCGCCTTGAGTACCTAAATGTTGGTACCGGTAGATACGTGCGCTACATACCGGTATAAGACTCTGGTATTAGCCCGTTAAAGGAAGTCTGGTGAAATTAAACTATTGTTGTACTGAAGCAGGATACCAGTTTCAGAAGATATGATGGACGTTTAGGTATTGTTCAACAAATTACAAGTACAGACTGTGACGTAACCCATGGTGTGGGAACGTTTTTATTTAAATACCAAAACACACAGGATAACAATGATTCCAATAACACACACAAAACAAAAGGATCTACATTAGGCCAAACAAAAAAAATAATTCGGTCTCTGGTCAGGCCAAAGTTTCGGAATTGATGCAGTGATGCGGCTTTTTTTTTGTTGTTGCTTTTTTTCAAGCTTGGATCAATTGTACAGACAAGGTGGGGTACTATTTTGCTTTTTTGTGTGTCCTCATGTACATTGGTGTCCTCCATAATTTGCCTTGGTGCCCTTGATCATTTGCCTTGGTGCAATTTCCCATTCCTTGGAAAAAAAATTGAGGAGGTGCGGGAATAGAGGGCATTGTTGGACCTACCGCGGATCATTTTGGAAAAAAAAAAAGGTTGACGCGCATGATTAAAATCGACGCGCGCGCTGACCAGAGACCGACTTATTTTTTCTGTTGGCCTTACTGCCATATAGGAGGCTCTTCTAACTCGGAAAAAGCACTACCTTTTTGGGGTGTCATTTTGTTATACTGTTAATCTTGTGTCTGTAACCTAAAGATACCAGAACATGCACTGGTTATTTAATCCTTATCCTTAAATTCTTATCTACATGATACAGTAGGGCCTATATCATGGAGGAAGTTTGTGTTCCTTCCTCCATGAGTATTCAGCAACATGCGCTGGTACCAGTACCACAGCTATTTCATGCTTGAGTGCTCACAAGTAGTGCTGGTAGATCCCAGTTTGTGTTTGGATAAGGATTTACAAGCAAATGTTTGGTGAAGGGATTACAAAGGGACAATTCCACCCAAAGGCAGACATGACACCTGCATTGTAGATAAATTTGGTATCCAAATAATGCTGCAAGTCTGAAGTTTTGAGAAACAACCATTCTTTTGGAAAAAATCCACTTGATAATACACCCTTGTTTTTGGATATTGAATGAGCATTAATTAAGTCCCACTAATTTCACAAATTCTGTTGATTTATGCTGCTCACTGACATTAAACCCCCCCCCCCCAAAAAAATGTTATTTTTAAAAAGTTATGAGAACTTTCATCCTTATTTTTAATACAGGCATGCAATTTTTCCTCGGATTAGCTGATTTCCTCGTTTTTTTTACTTCTCATAAATGCCAAATGTTACAAATTGAAAAACACTATACAAAGTCTTGTGGGGTTAGCAATTTCCTCTTTTTTCCCCTAAATTCCCTGTTGCGTTCAAAGTTTCCTTTCAAATGTTGCTTCAAATCAGAAACTCTTAAGGCTGCGGCATTTTTTTGTTTTAAATGGTAAAAGTTTGTCACTAGCTTGCAACGATACCCAATAGCCTATGTAAAAGTCCTCTTGTAACCTTACCCGTTCATCATTCAACATACATCCTCTTCAGTTGAGCAAATAGCTTCATGAGATCAATATCCAAAGAGTAGGTTTTTGAGGAGCTATTAAATAATTATGCTAATTTTCATGTAATGTACACTGTATACAATGTACATGTTCATAGGATAAATTGATTTTGTGTGAAAGACAGTGGCATCATTTGTATGGTTAATTTTGACTTTTTAAATTGGATTATTGGTTGTATTAGAAAATGTGATTTTTTTTTTAGCTTAAGAAACAGTTGAATAACATTTAAGACATCGGAGAAATACAACTTGAATCTATTTCTCACTTTACATTCGTAACATTAGTTTAAACTTTCTTCAAGAACTACACAACTCAATTTAAAAAATGTGTGCTGCAGTTCTACAGTGGGACTCAAAAAAATTAAAGTTACTTGCATTCCCCCATACCTGAATTTTACAATGCTAAAATGGTTGTCTTAAAACTTAAAAAAAGTCTTGTCTGAGCACTCAGTGAGAAAATACTTCTTGAAACAAGAATTATTCTAATATTAGGTGCAAGTAGTGTACTTAATCGGGGTGTTCATTTGGCAGTGTGGTAACTGGGTAACCGATTGAAAAAAACCCACTGGTACACGGGTACCCGTTACAAAGCTGAACTCCAGAATTCAAATCTTGGAAGTTGCTGTTCAAATGGTTCTCAAAGGTCCGCACGATAATACTACTATCTGTACAAGTGTGTACAGTGAGCTTTAAATAGCTTTGAAATTTACCTACCCGAGCGTCATATTGAAATGTGAAATATGTTTTGTTTTCCCATGTAGCCTGGTTTTCATTTAGAAAGTTCCCACAAATGACATTCGAAACCTTTTTTTTTTCATCGTCTGAAAAGTTAATTGGTATTTTGTATAATCTAGAGCCGATTTCTGACATCAGTGGTTGAGTACTCGGGAACTCAGTTCTGATGCACATTCGTAGTCCTTAAATTAATCAAAATGACACTGATATATATTTTTTTGTAAATTTTTTTCCCCTTGAAATGTGTCTTTAACCAGTTTTTGCGTCTTTCTTCCAGTGTCTTTCATGGTCACAAGTGCCTTTACCCATCACCACCGTTGCCACACCCATCACCACCGCTGCCACACCCACCACCAATACCACAACAGCCGACCCCATCGCCAACTATGAGTGGCTCCGGGAAAAGCCTGAGTGCCTCCTTATCCCTGGAAGACCTGGACCTGGACACCAGCCAGTTCCGCAAGTCTCGCAGCCCCCACGCCTCCACCAGCTCCTACCAGTCCAGCCCTGGGACCAGTTCCTATCATCGTCATGCCTCGGTCTCCCGAGTACCCATGTCTAACCCTACCACCACCACCACCAACCGTGCCATGTACACGGACGGACTCCAGCCCACCAATAACACCATCCCAAGGACTAAGAAGTCGGCCCGCTCGGCCGCGTCCGAAGACAGCCCCGGTGCTCGGGATAGGGGCACGCTCAGGAAGACTGTGTCCTCTCCTATTGGGCCTTACCACGGCAATGACGTCGTCGGGGCGAGGTTGGCAAACTCCTGTGGTCTGGAGCTCCAGAAGTACTCTCATCTTGTGACCGACATTGAGGATAATTCAGGTAAGGTTAGAAAAATAGGGGACTTTTCCTCTTATTTGTAGTACTCTCCTCTTATTTGTAGTATCTCTTCAGCCAAGTCTGGAGCCTGCAGGGCAATTTCAGGTAAAAGTGGTTAAGGCTGAAAGGTGAAAATTTATGAAATCTTCCAAACTACAAGCACCACAACCTCAAACGTGGTATCAAATTATAAAAGTGGGCAAGAAGACCTTAATATCGGAGTCTTATATAGCGCACGTGTCTACCAACATTAAGGTACTCAAGGCGCTGGAAAATATGTCTCTATTAAAGAAAGGTAAATAAAGTTTATGAGAAATATGAGACCCATTATGTAGCACCTTATAAGGGTTTACAAGGTGCTGCGGCGCATATTGCAGCCACTGCCAGGAACACCGGGGCAAACCCCTTCTCTTAGCGATAAGTGTTACTGGGTTCTTTAACGTGCATTACACAACACACGGGACCTACGGCTTTACGTCCCATCCGAAGGACGAAGCAATAATGGTAAAGTGCCTTGCTCAAGAGCACAAGCACCATGTTCCCACGGTCACGATTCGAACCCATGTACCACGGCACACGAGTCGAACACCGTAACCATTGGACCACAGCCCCCCAGACCTTTCGTTTGAGTGATGTGGTAATAAGATGGTCATGTGGTAGTAAGATGGTTTGTGCTTTTGTTCAACAGGAATACGCGTGAGTAGCCCTCTAGAGAAATTACTGTCTGAAGTATAAACCTCAAAGATGTCTGTTATATGTATATCGGGTATCGAGGTTTCCGTCACTGCAGTACTTTGTCTTTAGCCACAAAACTTGTTCATTTGGGATACATCCATACCACGGTACTGTAATTTGTTTGAAGTCAGGCATCCACTGGGTCATTCTATAAATTTAGGGTCCAGAGTTTGACGTTTTGCATGTCCCGTGTATACACGCAAAGGTTTTGCGGTATTCGGAACGGATGACGGATATATACGCAAAGGGCAAGGCCGGAAATATCTGTCTGCGACCCGCTTGCAGCGATAGAGGCTGGAAATATCAGGGTGTGCTACCTGCACAGAATTAAGAATGACTTTATATTTTGCGGGTATACATGTACGTGTACACAATGTAGTTTGCTATTCATAAATCTCCTTGATGATGAAGTAACTGCATTGGCATCAGAATTACAAAATTATGTCAGATATAATAGGGACAGCAAACAAAGTGGACCCCAAATTTATAGAATGCTCATCTTCCTTTTTGGGGGGATTTTGAGACTAGAACCTCTAAATTCTCAACTCTCCAATAAAATTCCTCACAAATTGCTCACTTACCCCATCCTTTTAGCTCAAGACAGTTCCACAGTTAAATAATTGGATTTTATCTCCAGGAAAAGGAGTTTAAGAGTCAACCAAAATGGCAATAATTTGTTATCGTGCTTTTAAAAGGAACCCCTGCATTAACATGCTTTTTTACTTTATTTTACATACATTGTAGTATGTTCCCAGACAGAGTTGAAGGACAAATCCTGTAGGTTTAATTTCCTCGGCCATTCTTGGGGAGTGGAAGGCATTAGAAACCTCTTTTGCTAAGTTGAAACTACATTACATGTACATGGGCATTTCCACACTAATGGGGTACAGTTGACTGCAAATTTGGGATTGATAGGGGGACACATGGAGAGTACAGCAAAGCAAGATATTTGTTCATTCCCCCCCCCCCAGTACATTCCTGAGGCCATACATTTTTTAACTCGGAACATTTAAGCCAAATTATGCAATGGACAGAAAACGGACTAGATTAAATCTCAAAGGAGCCGGTACATGCTTATTTTGGTACTTTTTCCTTGTACCTACATATGTACATTGTAATTTTGAGAGGGGGACACTTCGAGGGTACAGCAAAGCAAGATATTTTTAATTTCCCCCCCCCCCCCAGTACATTGCTGAGGCCATAAGCCGGGACATTTGAGCCAAATTATGCAATGGACAGAAAACAGACTAAATTAAATCTCAAAGGAGCTGGCACATACTGCTTATTTTGGTTCTTTTTCCTTGTACCTAATTTTGAGCATGTGAACAGTTTGCAAGTGTGCAACTTTAAACACATTTCACATTTCGCAAGCCTGAGCGAGGTCTAGAAACCGCAGATAAACCTCAGATTTCCTTGACCCTCTCTTTCAAAACATCTGAGAATAAACCCAAATCAATATGTTCGTTGGTTTCCACCGTTTTCAGTAATTTTGATTACGTTCGGATGAGAGAGCCAGGCCAACTCCCCCTCCCCCAACACACGCACACCCACACGATGCAGGAAACAGCCAGATTTACTTAAACATTGATTAGTGGCTAAAGGCGCACAGGTTGTTGGCCAAATCAGCGTCCCTCCCACACTATCACAACCAGATAAAATATCCACACAGCCGGAGGGGTATGAGTATTTATAGTAGTCCCCCTTCCATTGCTGGCATTTTTTTTTTTTTGGCTGCTTCACTGCATGCTGATTGCATGCTTGAGTAGACCGTGAAAATCCGTCATTCATTCATCCATTCTTGCTGCGTATTGATCCACGGTTCAGCGTACAAACACGTTCGCCTTATCCACATAGCAGATAGGGGTACATGTACGTGTACAGTACGTAGTAGCTTTTTGCGCGTGCCTCGCTATTCGGGTAATAATCCACATCGTGTCCGTCATTGGTGCCACATACGTACATGCACCTGTATTCGTTTCTGCTCATCCTCACATGCGGTATATAAGGTCTCCATTATTGATTGATGTAATTTCACCCTTATCGCTCACCACCTGACTTTTATCATAGGTGTCCGCCATGAACGTTTGATATCAAGCATTTTATCGAGGTGTCAGGGTATTAGGCCCTACCGGTACGTGTCATTTATCAAGTCGAAATTTTTTTTTTGACCAATTTAAATTTAATAGATTAAGACGAATGTAAGGAGACATGAATCTGGATAAAGTTGGCAGTGCCCGACCCATAGAAGGTACAATACACTGTAACTGTTGTTTACAACTTATAAATCTTCACAAACTACATGTAAACACCAAAATGTATGTAAAAATATGTATACAGTATATTCATAAACGTTGATGTATACATGTACATGTAGGCACATCTTTATAATACATGTATCGATATAAATACAGTATTACTAAAATATTCATAAACTTCAGAACAAAAGATGCTGAACTTGTTTACAATACGGAAATGCCAAGCATGTTTACGAGGAGCTTTCATTGACCACAAACAGGTCTGCTTTTCAACCAGTGTGAGAAATAAATTAACATTTGGGAGGCATTACCGCAGAGGGCTATCTCTTGGGGGGAAAACGGCGATCAGAAACTGGAGAATTGTTTTCTGTACGTTTGCTATCGTTTAAATTGTAAATAAATGTAGAAACTGAGGTCTTACAAAGGTTTGTCTGAGTCATTTCATCTTCAATTGAATTCACAAAATTCAGTAATTTCATAGACGTAGTAGAGACTGGGAAATTGCTTGTACACTGTGCACGTTCAATTTTATTTTTAGATCGGTCTTTTTTTTTTTTAGGTAGAAGTTGCAGGGTATCTTCCCTTCCATTGACATGTATTGCAGCAGGAAATGTATTGCAGCAGGAAATGTGTTGATATTCTTGATATTCTTTTTTTGTCAAAACATGTATACGAACATCTTCTTTGTTCTGTTAGAAACAAATGGAATTCAACAAGACACACTTTAAAAAATTGTCATAAAGTCTGTGTACCTGCCGATGCAATGTAAATTGGAGCATGTTTAAATAAGAAGCCTTTCTCTGGTTATTCTCAATTGTAGGTGTACATGTATGCACACACTTCATATCATACAGCTGTGTCCTTTAGGAAACCATATTTGCGCAGATGGAAGGAATTTAAAGTCTTTGGATTGTACGAACATACAGGCTACCGGTACAAGCTCCCTTCAGATATCCCCTAAAAAAAAAATAGGCCAAACAAAAAAAATTAAACCTACACATGTAGGCCCACTTGCAAATAAAATATTCATGATCCACATTAAATTTCTTCCTACAGGATTTCCCACTTTCTTAAACATTGTTGATTACATATCACTGCCACATACTTAAATTTTCTGTAAACCTTCTACATGTACTCAGGATTTCTTTCAAAAATATTCAGAGCCCCCTGTTTTTGATTTAAAAAAAAATGCACGTTTTGGCCCAAATTGTCACCGACGCTGTGTTTTGACATCTGGCATTCATGAAAATACTACCGGTACAGTGTTCGGCACTGACAGCGTCTTTCAAAAGTGCATGGTTGTATATATACGGTAGTAAAATGTATGCCTTCTTTTGTGCGTTGAGATACAATGTAAGTGATTTAAGGATCCACTCACTAAGAGAGTGCACTCTAGTTATTGTACAAGACGTACTCAGTAGTTAATGGCTTCGGTCACCGAAAAAGCAAAAATGCCATTCAAGAAGTCTCCATTTCTAAGTGGAGTAGAAAAACGGGGTCAAACAAGGAATCGATCAATTGAAAATGTACAGCGAAATCTAAAAAAAAAATGTTTAAGTTATGGCCTCCGTCACAGCCACCGTGCGCCCAGGGTAAACACGGTAAATGGCGTCCTGGACGTTTCTTCCCATTTTTCAGGACGAATTTGCATGCGAGGGCAATTCACGAAGGAGGAAAAAAGCACACTAGGCCCTTGTGTACTGTACATGATGAATATTTACAATGAATGGTGGGTTTTTTTTTTTTTTATTAGTTCAAGTCTTCACAGCTGTCGCAGAAGGACCCGGGGCATTTTTGTATTACACACGAATGCTTCCGTGAGAACTTCAGCGTGTCCTACAATCTTGTGGAGAAAAAAAGGTTCTTGAATGAACTTGTTAAAAAAAATTTAGAAAAAAAAATTAAAAATTGCAGAATGTGATGGCAATTCAATATCTGCAGCATTGTTAGCTGTTCATTGAGATTTATTATTGCACCGTTGAAATTAATTTCAAAGTTGTCAAGGAGAAATGACATGAGTTCATTCCAACTATCGGGTTGTTAAAG